TAGCATTAATCAAATTATAACATCAGGACATAAGAAGTTGTACTTCAAGCCAGAAAGAGCTAACCTACCATCTGAAGAACTAATAAAACAATCAGCAGGATTTAGCTTCTTGAGTGCAGAACTGGCAAATATTAAAGACTGGATAATGGCTAAAAGCTCAGGTGGAAAAGCTGGCGTAAGTCCAGACCATGCTTTGGGGGTACATTCTTGGGCTAATTATTTAAAGCCCTGGGATCTTCATCTAAACAATAGGGTTGGCAGTTGCATAGCATTATTTGTGGAGATAAAATGACATAATCTATGCCAAGTGCCTAGCACAAATGCAAATGCTCAATAAATGTTACTGTAAGCTACTGGGATGCTGCTGATATAAATAGCCAGATACTCAAAGTTAAACTTGATTTTCTCATGGATTAAAATCATTAGTGAAGGAGATACTAAGCATTTTGTTTTATTTAAAAACTACACTAACTGCTCAGACATAACGTTATGGGATAAGCCTAGTAAACCTAGGATTCATTCACTGTGCTCTTAGAACATGTGAGCTGTGAAAAATACAGAAATAAGAAAATGACCTTTGCCCTCATGGAGTTTACAAGATAAACACAGATAACTAATTTCAGTTGTTATAAGATATGGCATCATAGAGACCGGTCTGTAGAGAACTGCCTGAGAGACATGGGAATTTAAGAGTCTTCTCTCATCAGCTCACCAACGGGAATGAACACTCGAGTCACTCTGTTAGGTCACACACCCACATGCGATTCTCTAATGTTCTTAAAATATCAAACTTTACTTCACATCTATGACAATGTTGCTGAATAATGCTGGCAACATTTATAATGAAATAAGGACCTGAAAAACTTTCAAATGGTTTTGACCTTTTTTTCTCAGTAGAGAATACTGGAACACTGGTTCTAAGAGGTGTGAAATTGGTGTCCAGTTAAATTATACTTATTATGCCTCACAAGTTAGTGAAAGAGAAAATTATCTCAGATACCTGGTGAACTAGCCAATATAAACACCTGGGAGGGGAAGGCTCCATTCACACAAGGGAATATCTAATTGGTAAAGAGTTTACTGAAACAGATCCAACCGGCGAACCACTAACTGAATGTGCTTCTCATGCTCAGTGGACTTGGGTCATATTCCCAAAAGAAGTCTGCATCAGGTCAATGGAAATTAGTAGTTCAAGTCATAAGCTTATGAACCATCAAAAAGTGATAATATATATAGTTACTGGGTTTGTTAATCCAGCTGATGGGCAGATGGCACAGAGATCTTAAAAATCATCCTTGGAATGATTCTATAAAAGACTCACATCCCCTCTCTATTAATATATACCAGGTGGTATCTAGTTTATGCTTTCATCATTTCATTTGGTTAAAATAAAGAAAATATGTATTTATATGCACTCTTAAAGCACAGGTAACCTGAATTTCATAGTAAGTTAGACAATTCTGCAAGTTATCAGATTAAAATATTTTTCTTACATTATGTACTACTGGATTCAGTGCTTTTACGCCTTCTTAACACAGAGTGTAGATCCCCTAACAGAAGTGGGTAGACACTGTATTTTCACTACCATCACAATGCAAGAAAAACCTTTTGCACAACCCTTGGCATTAAGTCTAGAAAATGCTTCATCATTGGGGAACTAAACGTCTCTCAAATATTCCTAGATGAAATCGTAAATGATTTCATCCTAAATGAATTCCTAAATGATTCCTAGATGAAATCCTAAATTCCTAGATGAAATCCAAATTTCAACGTAGATACTTTAGGAATGGCAGTAACAAACAAAAACATGATTTTATAGAAATGAGCCAAAGATACCAGGATGTTGAATAATAATAAAGTAATTTTATGATTATTAATATCTTATACACAATGGAAAGCAAGTACATATTCTTTAATGGCAGCAGCCTATATGTGTTAAGCACTTCCCAGTTTTCAAGATTTAAATACATCCACTCATCTGGTCCCCCCAATAACTCACAAAGGTGAGCAAGGAACAGACTAGTCTCCACACGAATTTATACAACCAGAAACCACAGAGATTAGGGAAATTGTCATATGAGCAGATGACAAAGTCATGCCTCCTGACTCCTAGTTCAGTATCCCTTTGACAACATGCCATTAAACATGGAATTCTTAAGTATTAACTAATAGTAATGTGGTTATTCCGAAACAGGAGTCGTCTCAGCTCACTGGTGCTTCTCAGTTTTCTGTAAAAATTCCTACATAAGTACTTTCCAGACTTATCTTCAAATGGGAAAAATCACTTATATTTTGCCTAAACAAGAAGACACTACTTACAGTGATATCATCACACTGCTTGTCCTAACCTGAGGCCAAAAGCAAGTCAGCTGCTGAGCAGCCGGTTTAATCTGCCAGGAATACCTCCCCACAGTTCCTCACGCCAGTCCAGAATCACCTGCATCAAGTCAGTGAACTTATGAGAAATGGGTGAATATTTCTCAGAGCCCTTTCTTGCCAATAACAGTGATCAATAACAAATTCAAAAGATACAAATGCAAAACTTGAAAATACATGAATTCAAGCATAGTAATATTTGATGGCAAAGAAAACCATCTCTGGGTGCGGAGAAAGCAGATGCTGAGTAAATCATCTCCAGACCTTCACTCCCACCTATTTTATTCCACTAACCAAGGCGAGGCACGGCAGGTAGGGTGCTCTGGAAGGACCAGTAAAACAGGAAACACCACTGAGTGGTTCCTCTGCACTGGACATCAGGACAGGTGCCCTATGAAATCGGCTCATTCAACAAATTAGTGAAGTAGCATCATTATATCCTCATGTTATAGCTGAGGAAACAGAAAGTTTCAGTAAGGAGCTCCAAGATACAGAGCAGGTAAAAGCCGGTTCCTATCCAAGCCAGCTGGTGTCAGAGCCTGTGCTCTAATCCACGGTTCTGCATCCTACAGCGCTGGGTCAATTCCACTCGCCACCCAGCCATTTCAGTGGAGCCATAAGAAAGGTTTTAGTTTTCAGATGCACTAGGGGAGGGGATGGGGGTGGGGAAGGGGAGGAGGTGGTGTCAAAAGAAGATTACCTCAAACTTCAATAAACTGAAACACTGTCACATTTGTTCACAGACATATTGGCTATGCTGATCTTATGTTACAATGATACAGCTGAGGGCTATGACAGAAACCACACATGGTCCGCAAAGCTAAAAATAGTTACTATCTGGCCCTTTAGAGAAAAATGTGCTGACTTCTGCTCTAAGCCATTCCACTTTATGCTTACTTAACATCTCTATTTGGATGTCTTAAAAAATATCCGACGTGTAACATATCCCAAATCAAACACCTGATTTCCTCCACCTCACACACCCAGAACCGTATTTTAATCCTTCCCCTGTGGTGAATCCATCCTATGTAAATTTACATCCTGTGTAAAAACTATAGACCTAGAGTACCTTTGAGTTCTTTCTTTCAATCATGACCAAAACCATCAGCAAATCTGCTCAGCTCTGCCTCTGAAATACCCAAACACATTTCTTTCCCTCCTAAGCCCAAGCCTTCACCATCCCTTTTCTGAGTCACTGTCGTAACTTCTTCCTAGGACTTTTGCTTCTTGCTCAAGACAGCAGCTAGAATACTCTTTTGCTCACGACCCTTTGGCCTTTCTAAACATGCCAACCACACTCCTGCTCCTGGGTTCTAGGGCTCCCCCATTTCTGCAGACCTCTTCCCAATGCCATCCTATTTTACACAGGCTCTCCGCTCCATCCAACCCAAATCTAGACTCCTAGGCCTTGAGTCGCCCTTTCCCTTGTTTTATTGTTCGCCACATCATCTCAGTTTGCCACATGATATATATATTGGGTTTTCATTGTAATTAGGCTCCAGGAGGACAGAAGTTTAGTTCATTTTCTTCAATAATATATCTCTGGCACTAGACCAGGGCCTGATATACATCAGGTACTTAGTATCTGCTGAATGAATGAGAAATCGGTCCCTACATTCAAGAAGCACTGAGTTCAGTGACATACAGGGATGGGTGAACATCTTCAACATATAAAAATTGTACTGAATGGGGCTTAAGAATATACTTCTTATTTTACCTACTTTATTAGTAAACACTTCATTCTAAACAAATCAAATGCTGGGGTCTCAATCAAAGGGAGAGAAAGCTAACTCGGTAACATCCTGTTCTCTGTATGAAATTACTCCACGCAAATCTACTTCACTGCACAGGGGCACTGGTTACATGCCTGAAGTCCCATTCTTACCTTCTGCTTCAGCCTTAATTCCCTCCTTTGCAACTCTGTCAAATCAAAGTCCATTTTGACTACAGGTAGCACCTCAACTCTTCCCCCTCCTAACTCTTCTCCCTAAGTCCTACTATTCAGCTCCTGTAAAAATATTAATGCTTGAAATTACTCTCCGGTCAGGCTCCTGTCCACCATTCTTTACAGGGACATTCATGTCTTAGCCACAAATGCAGTGAAAGTGAGTTTTCAGAGAGACAATATATCCATTAAAACACTATCATTTCTGAGAACGAACTCAAGTTTAGTCAATGTTTGAGTTCAGAGTAACACTAACAGAATTATACACTTGAAATCTATATAATTTTATTAACCAATGTCACCCCAATATATTCACTTAAATTTTTTAATGGAAAAAAAAAGAAACTATGAATAATGATGATGATGATGATGATGATGATGATGATGATGATGAGTAGCACTCTACTGTGTAACCTAGAGGCCATGCACTTTCTAAGCACTTAAGGAAAAATATCTGAGGGAGGTTTATGAGTGGTAAAAATGCATCAATGAACCAATAACACCACCATACTCAAAACTATCACAGTAGAAATGACATTCCCTGCTTGGCTTCTTCACTTCCTGGTCACTTTTTAACTAGGAAAAAGAGTAACAGTTTTCATTTATTGATTTTTTAAAAAATATATGGGAAAGCTGCAGATGTGGTAATAGAAGAATCAATGACAAGAAATAGTCATACCCTCTCCTCCAGTCTAGCCAGCTGCTCTTTGTAGAATGCATCCTGCCTCTTGATCACTCGATCTTTCTCTTCCAGCATCCTCGCCTATAAAAAGAAATGAAGAATATACTATATTAGGAAAAAGCAACAGCAAAGCAAAAGTCAAGTATAAATTACATTAGAAATAAGTACACAAAGCGGAAGATTTCTGCAAACTATTAGGTCTCTGCCATAGAAAAACATTAATAGGATGATGATTGCTGTATTTAAATGTAAAGAATGCGTCTGCATTGTTTTTTCATTTTCTTTTTACTGTAACAGCTGTGTCCTACTTTGTCCAAATGCATCATAATACAGCAGAGACAGTTTTTATTTAACTTCTCTTTTGGAGAGTAATTTCAAGCATTAATATTTTTACACAATAAAACTTTGATTTTAATCTGGGCATAAGACAGATGGTTATTAACCTTTCTTAAACAACAAAAAAAAGCCTATGCAACACTGTATACATAAACTTTATAATTGGGAACCCTTAAATTACTCAGTGAAACCTGAATATAAATACATGTATTGGTCTATTTTCTTTTCTATGAAGCAGCTATCTTTAGAGAGAGGACCAAAAACTACTATAAATGTTTATGTGAATAATTAAAAATCAATAATAATAAAAATAATGAAGTTAATTTAAAAATCTTTTTTCCCGCCGAGACCGGTTTGGCTCAGTGGATAGAGCGTTGGCCTGCGGACTGAAGGGTCCCAGGTTCGATTCCGGTCAAGGGCAGGTGCCTGGGTTGCGGGCGCATCCCCAGTGGGAGATGTGCAGTGGGCAGCTGATCGATGTTTCTCTCTCATCGATGTTTCTGGCTCTCTATCTCTCTCCCTTCCTCTCTGTAGAAAAATCAATAAAATATATATTAAAAAAAAAAAATCTTTTTTCCCCACATCTAAATTTATGGTCTTTTTAACAAAATAAAAACATATCACGTACCTAAATCACCTCAAGTTAGGAAAGTTTTAAACACATTTTTTGTTCTGTGAATGCTGAATATACACTTGACCAGGAATTTTAATAAATTATGAAAGGATACATTTTGGCATTCCCATCCTTGGGCCACACACTTTTTTTTTAATTTTTTTGCAAGGTGATCAAGTATCACCTGGCTCAACTCCTAGAAAGGTGACTGCCACTTGGTTCAGTTTAAGAGAACCCATTTGCACATTGTATGTCATTGTTTTGCTACTTACTTTGACTTCAATGTCCTGCAGCATGTTAAAAACAAGCAAATAGTTATTTAGCAATGTAAGTATGCCGTTTCCTAATGTCAGAAAGAAAGCTGATGCATAATATCTACCTAAAATGCAAACCAAAGAAGGCAATAACGGGAAAAGAGGGCTTTGCTTAAGTTGCTTAAATGTGACTAGGCTATTATTTTAAATAGAAGATTTCAATGAAAAGATCATGGCATGTGAAAGCATATGATAAAAAAAAACACACAAATACAATATTAAGATTTGATAAAAGTAAATTAACATGTAAGTACATAATCTACAGCTCCTTGGTACAACACAGTAAAAGCCTGCTATCAGTCAGGAATATAAAAGAAAACAATAAATGGGAAGTGTTTAACAAAGCTAAGTGTGAATAAAATATGCACGACTATATATCTGACCTACAGAGAAAAGACCTTTCTAGATTCAACATACACTCCAAAAAATAAAGCAAATGCAAACGAATGGACTTACTATAAGACCCTCCATTAAACGTAAAAATCAATAAATAAAATAAAAAGCAAATGAGAAAAAAAGGAAAAGATATTCCAACATCTAGCTGTAAGAGTTAATGTTACTAATATAGAGAGCACTTAAAAAATAAGCCCTCTACCCCACCCACAAATGACATAGACTGGTAAATCACACCCAAAAGTACAAAAAAACACATGGAAAAAGAAAACAACCCCAGAAGAAGTCAAAGAATGAAAATTAAAATAATGAAATACCATTATTCATCTATCAAACTTACAAAATTATAAAATAATATTAATAAAGATATAGAAAACCAGGCTTTTCTATACAGTTGGTCAGAATGTAAACTGGTATAGCTACTTTTCAAACAATTTGACAAAATTTAATTAGACAAAGTGTACACATTCATTGAGATCTAAACACTATTTTTAGAACTCTTAAGTAATTATAACAATATTCAGAGACGTAGGTAACTGGGTTATTTAGAATTGCAAAGAAACAAAAACAAAACCCACTCTAATTATTAAATATAAATATACTCCAAATATACTAAGTAAAAACCCCCACAAAACTACAAACAGAAAAGATCTTTTTCTTTTTTGTACGAAAGAGGGAAAAAAGACCAACAAAAATATCAACAGAGGTCATAGCAGGGTGGTTTCTAGTTCATTTTGCTTCTTTATATATTCTAAATAAAAAATAAACATACTTTGTAGTCAAGGCACTCAGGAGGAAATTTTTTAACGTGAGGGAACTATTCTGTTTCTTGATTATGGTGGTGGAAAACTTGTAGAACTAATATTGCAAGGAATGAATTTCACTACATAGTGAATACAAATAAAGCATACTAGAATTTATGAAAATATCTACATATAAATATATGGATGTATGTGTATATCTATCTTTATTACTGTCAATCTGCTTATCACTTGGCCGATTTTATTTCTAGGCATTTAATCCTAGGAAATACTAAGAAAAGCATACAAGGATTTACCTCTAAGAAAATGCAGCCAGCATTATTTTCAGCAACAAAAAAGTGGGAATGACAGAGGGGTGTGTAAATAAGATTTGGTCAAACAATAAGATATTGATTATAAAGATTTTAGTCCAGCCATAATGATCAAACATTGAGAGCCATTAAAAATAATGTTTTAATAGAATTATTATTTTACTCAAAATATTATATGGGGTAAAAACAGGCCATAAAATAGCATGTATTAGTAAGTTCCTAAATTTGGCTAAGAAACAGGAGTTAGGAGGCAAAAGGGAGGAACAGAGAGAGTTGAGTGTCTAGTTATATAGATATGGAAAAAATATAAAGTATGCTAAGATGTTAACAGTGGATACGATATGCATAGTGGGATATTTTTCTTATTTGGACTACTTTCCACTTTCCAAATTTTCTATAATGAACAATCATTACTTTTATAATCAGAAAAATATTTTAAACATTAAGATCACATACATTTATTCCTGACTGAGATGAAAACATATATGAAGCTGAGAGTGTGAGCTCTTAAGTAATCACGTTGACAAAAAAAAAAAAAAATGGTTTCAATAGTTTGAAGAGTTATTTACTGCATGGAAACTATTTTACCTACTAAGTCCTTAATGCATTAACACTTGATTCTCTCTCCCATTCAATGCATGAATAACCCACCATGGTTCCTAAAACACTTGCACTAAGTGTTTCTTTTGTTCGTGTACAGTTGCACAGTGAGATTATTTTAAAACACTACAGTATTATTGGAGCCTACTGAGGGCTACACCAACAAGTTTAATTTTGAGGGGCTGATTGCAACCTAAATAAAGCACACTCATTTACATCTCCAAATGTAATCTCTGAAACTTTAATGCAACACGCCAGAAGATCAGATAGGCACACTAAAGAGGAACTACTTCCAAAGACCTGAAAACACCCAACCACAATCTAACATCATAAATGTTTCCCTAGATGCTGGCAGGATCAATAGTCTGAGATCGCTGGGGAGAACAACAAAGCAAGAGACGTGGCCACAACACTTTAATGGCACATTGCTTTGAAACAGTTAATGTGATGCTGGGAGCGAAAGTCACACAATATGAATCCTAAAACTTAAATAAGCCTGGAATACATTGACTAAGCTAATAGCTGCCGAGGATGGACAGTCACAGTCAACCCAAGGAAAAGCAGTGCACCAAGTGCAAGGAAAGAAAACTTCTATATGCAAGTCTAGCAGATAGAGAATCACTGTGAGTGAACAAATAAACACAAACCGCATCGCAACATCATTTACTGTTCTAGCAGAATCATCTATCAGGAAAAATGAATACAAAAGTTTCCCCACCTCCTATTTGCTCTTCCTCCCACCACACAAAATGTGCCCTGATTTAGTTTTCAGATCCTGTTAGATTTAGGGTGAAATGACTGAGCTTGAAACCATGGCAGAAAGAGCTTATGTGAGTCATGATGGAAAACTAGAAAGTTCCATATGCCAGAGAAACAAAGAAAATTAAAAAATCAAGTTTTCTTTAAGAACACAGACTTGTTGGCAGTTCGATTCAAAATGAAGTACACATGGATTTCCTTCCTTGAATACTTGCCTCTTTTCAGAAAGGATTGACAAGTTTGTGTACTTATCAACCTCCTCTCTTCATTCACTGTTGGTTTTACATTTTTATTTTAAAACCCACTTATCTTTGCCTATGCTTTCTTTTTTTCAAGAGGAGAAGCAGATCTGCCTCAAAGCGGCAGAGGACGTATTTTGAAAATGTACTTGATAGTGCTTACAACAAGATATAAAAAGGTCAACAGAAAAACAAAAACAAAAACAACTTGGGCTACGGATATGGCATATTGTGCTGGTAGAACTTTACCTTCCTGTGTACACTCCCAGGAAAATCTTCATAGCCAAAATGTTCTGACATAGTGGCTCAGCTCCCTTAGGCCTGGCTGCTCCTGGGGACTGGGGTGGCTTTCCCTCTGGGTACATGGCATTTGGAACCCGGTGACATCACAATCTCTTAGCTCAGAAGTAGTACTGTTACTTCACACACCACGTAAAGGCGTGTTAAGGAAAGATGTTGTGCTATGGAAAAGCCTGTACATTTTAAATGGCAAAGTTCCTTGAAATGTCAGGGTTCAGTTTTAACAGCTCCAGGTAGAAAACAAAGCAGGAACCAGCTCAGTTTTCTATGGCATGATATTATGAAACCAGAGATTACTAGGATTGAAAAAAGGCAAGAACTGTAAATCAATATAAATAGGAAATCCTTATAACTCATTTCCTGTCATTCTAAATCTTGTAACAAATCTAAACACAAATATAATGGACTGGGAAAGATTTAACCTTTCAAAATGATATGGATAATCTGTGGCAGACAAGCTATCTATCTATCTATCTATCTATCTATGTATCTATCTACCTATCTATCTATCTATCTATCCATCCATCCATCCATCCATCCATCCATCCATCCATCCATCCATTCATCCATCTTACAATTCACATAGGCAAACAAGAGCTGGGAAAAGTGCTGTATTACTTGTCAGAATTACATATTAGGGATAATATGTAGGAACCTAATAAAATTATATGCTGACATTAAACAGAGAACCGAAATACCCAAGGGGGCTGAACCATAAACTTGTAAGGTGATATTACATTTAGAAGCTGCAGAGCATGATCACTGTGAATATCAATTAGCCGTAACAAAATAATTAAAGTAGCCATGTACTCAATTAGCTACATACTAGACTTTGTTATAAATGAGAAATCACTTAGGGTTCACTGAGCCTTTATCATGTTAATAAACTCAGAATTATACGTGGAGCACTGTTTTCCAAACCATACCAGAAGGTGAACTTCAAAAGGTAACTCATCTAGATGAACTTAAATGATACCCAATCAATTGTCAGATTTAGCACATTTTTCAAAAACTTAAGAGGCAGAAGCAGAAGCAATGAGGAAACCCCAGCTTGAAATGCTAAACCACACTTATGTCCACTAACACAGTAATGTCTGATATAAGTTGAATAGAGACCAAGAGATGAAAAGACAAAGACCTTTCTTTCAATAGACTTCTTACTCCTAAATCTGGAACTCATACCCAAGTCCCCAGGATGTGAGCAAATCCATTTGTTTCTGTTTTGTTGTATGTGTTTTTTTGTCTTCTCCAAAAGATCTTCAAGAACCTGGCCTACGTGTCAACTTTCTCATACTGATAACACTGGGACAGCCCTCTGAGCATGTCCTCTACCACCTGTGGGAACACCTAGAGAGCAGCCTAGTGGCGCTTTGCTTTAAATAGTCCAGTGGTGCTCACATAACATTTGTGCAGATCATGGTACTTGACAGAACCAGCAAAATTTAGTAGGTAAAATTTAAAAAATAATTTTATAAGCTTTCTTCTATAGCTTTAGAGAGGAAAGACTTAAACCAAAAAATTAGTTCTCCCATTTTCTGGTTTAATTCAGAAGTTATTAGCACAATAACTAGAAACTACTTGATGAGGACTCAGGAGACCGGAGGCCCATT